TTCTGGATTTAGTTATAAACTGGGAATTACTTGAACACTGCACTTCGATTCTATTATTAACTGTAAAAAGTTGAGAAAAAGCCGACCTAAATTCAGTGTTATTTTCATTCTGAAGGTTGTGGAGAGAAATACCATCGTAGATTTAATCTCAGAAATGACGAGTATCATGATGTCTACCTTGTCAGGCATTGTTAGCTGGAAAAACGTTATTTGATGACCAGGCTAAAATATGACATCAGTCCATAAAGTCTTTGACTGTTGGTCAGAGGCGTGTAGACTTCCCGATCGGTGTCCACGTGACAACTTTAACTGATTTTTGGGGACTACAGGTGATGTTGCTGTAAGTTGGTCGCAACGACTCAGATGTATCCATACATTATCGTAATCGTAATACCGATATTTATAATTGTCTTATTTCTCTTTGTTTTTGATTTACAACTTTCTACCAATAATGACTACTTTTCTCCTCATCTCTGTATCGTTCATCTTGGTGGTTTCTCTTGTAGTATGCTGATATGAAGAATAGTAACTTGGACCGTTATGCGGCAATGCCACTTCCCGGGTTGATGTTAACTGACTGACCAGCACCATGAATCCTACCTAACTCTGTATTTTCGTAATATCGGATAAAGTTCTTTGCCTAAACTGCCGATAGACATTAAGTAAAACGAATGGTTCGAACGAAGTCTGAGACTGATGAAGGGGTATTGAACAGTGATATCATTTGGTTGTTTTGATATTTGTGGGGAACTGCTAACCTCCTGATCGGTACTCTTAAGATAGTAGGACTCAGTATTTAGAGACGTTGGGCAATAGTAGTACCAGTGGTGTATTAATTAAAATTTCACTACTCGTTGTTTGTTTGCTTTCCTGCTCGTAACTTTGTCTGCCTTTATAACTTTTGAACTACGTCATTTATTTTTCTGTGCTTTTGCATCCAAGAGGTGATATGATGGTATCTGACTGTGGTAGGATAACCGGTTAAGTATATTTAACCAATCAAAACTCTATATTCGAACCCATGCAACTGTGTAGAAGCTTACTGATAGATATCCAACTACATATCAGACGATTGGTATATTGTTCAGCAGTCCACTCTATCCTATTTCTGAAAGTAGAGGATATGGAGGGGTTAAAGGTTTCTAATCACAAATATCTTCCTAACGCTGCTCGCGTGTGATGGAACCACGGAGTGGACAGTGTTGATGTTAGACATACAGTATTTGGCGAGGAAGGTTAGTCAATGAAATAAGTTATAAACTTCACTGGCTGAAATGATCTAAAACCATCAGATTACCGAAATAGAATTATGTTGGAAGAAGACTAACATTATCCAGACCAAGTTTTGACAGCAGTTCACGATGTCTGTAAAGTGGTCTAAATCATGCAGGCTTCCTGGCTTAAATTCTTGAGATGTTAGGAACTAACAGTTGGAAAATTTTTGATCCGACCGAAAGTTGACTCTAATGTCATACGCGGATGTGCTTTTTCTCATCGTCGAAGTTTTGAATATTTTCATTACCTTTAGTGTATTTTTCTTGTCTCCTTTGATATTCTTTGTCCTACTTTAAATATCACTCGTTTTTAATCCATCGTTTCTTAAAATGTGTCAGCTGGAGGCGATGTATTTCGATCTGTTGTGCGAAGTTATTCTGCTTTTTTTCTGTCATCTTCCTCTACACGTCTTAACGTTTCTTTTTCCTACTTACTGCTTGGTATCTTTGATGTCTTTCATGAAGCTAGTGCCGATAAGACATTAAGGATCAAAATTTGGAGAACACTAAGCGATGATCCTTCTCATTCTAGAAATTATTTGACTCGTTTTGATAGTAAAGTTTATTTTTCTCTGGTAACTTGAGATTATATTTTATAGTGACATCTGATTTATAGTTCAATGATTAGGATTTGTAACGTATGGTAGGCAAGTAGTAGTGAGTGAACAGATATAACGCTTTGAATACAAGATTTCTTCTTATCCACTCACATTGTGATGGCCAGAACTGGTCATCATAGGTTAGGGAGTTTTCATAACACTGACATATCTTGGGAGTCACTAGTAGAACTTTGATCTTCACTATTTAATGCTTTCATGTACTTTTCTTTCTGATAATCTGGATATATTGGATGCAATTTCAATGTATTATCCATCACTGATTCCTTTTTTTATAAATTTATGGTTTTAGTTGCGGTTTCTTCTTACTTTCCAACATTACTGATGTCCAAGTGACATAGACTATGGCATCAAAGTTTGTTATTGCGTAGCATAGACTCCTTTTACAGTTGAAGGTGGAAAACTCTATCACTTGGTCTAGTTTATACCATATATATACCATACTGGTATGGTATTTTCATCTCGTAGTACCCCCATAAAATACTTTAAAACTGACATTTTTATATTTACCAAGTTATAAAATGCTTCATTAGGGAATCGTAGACAGGCAAAAGAAACATGAAATGTGAGAAAATTGTGTATTGATCCAAGTTATCACATTTTATGGCACAGCTGTTTAGTTTCAAAGTAAGGGCAAGGGAAACAAGTTTGAATGCCATGAACCGTCTACTAATAATTGAGCCACCACAGCAAGTCGAGGTATCAAATGACAGCACGCATAACATACGGCCGTATCTACGAACATTTAGCGTTTATCATGAGATTCGCTTGAACAGTTTGTAGCATCACGACTCATTGTAATAAACAACCACGATATAATATACTAGGACGATCATGAAATACGTTTATTTATTGACTTAATGTGTTGATGGCAGAGATTCTAATGATAAATTCTGCAATATAACGCCTCTCTTACTGATTATAAATAGGCTACCAGTTCTTCATAATTCAGTCTTCATCCTACACAGATATTAATTGGATTTGAAACATTCTGGCTTTTTGTAGCTTCGTGGTAAGAAGACCTTTTTTCGCTGAATAATGCCAACGGTTTTCACAATTGATTTTACACAACCTGGTTATTTATTCCTCTTCTAATAAATTCTTATGAAATAGAATTAGCTTTAGTAAATCAACTAAAGTATTGGTACCTCATGTAAAAATGGCAGTAATGCTAATGATAAACGACATGTAATATAATCTGATGTCAACATATACTACTCAAGAAAATGAGTGGTTAGGAACCACTCACTCTGGTCTGTAGGTCTCGCTAATCAGATCAGAGTTATCTGAACAGCAGAGAACCGTTTCGCCCGTTTAGCACAAAGCTTATCAACCTTGACTTTGAGGAACCGGTATGTCTGAAACTGCATGATCAACTTTGAAATAGTTTACAAATTCTACTCAGCTGAGTAGTTTTTCAATTGCCCAACTATGGTGTCACAAATTATTATTTCTTAGATTTTTTGTGGAAATAAATTGGTTCCCAAGTAAATTATGGATGAGTGAGTGATTTCGAAAGCTGTGTGCGCCTAGTATTGACTAAACAAACTTTGACGGGTAATACCAAGCATACGTTCCAGTTTGTGTTTTGTTTGGGTATAGACAATTAGGAGATAGCAAAAGGATTAGAAACACCCAGGAATACATTAATGTATCAGTGTTACTTTTCTCAAATTGCCTACTAGTATGTGCTGGATTACTTTTTCTGGACACAAAGGCTAAGATTATTGCCTCGAACCCGCATTGCATACCTTCGGTTTTGTGTAAATCATAGGTTCGAATTCTCTTTGAAAGCTCGTATAACATATTCTGTTGATTGTTTTTATCAAAGCAAGATTCGCATAATAAGTGAAGCTCATATTTATTCAAAAGGTTTGCTAGTATGAGCGAAATAATCTTGAATATATTGACCTTATCTTCTGTTTGATAAAGTTAAGCTTCTTATGGATTTGATCCGTTCCCTTCCCAAAAATGAAGGTATATGCTCTGCAATACCTCTGACAAGCTGCCTAGTCGTGCTCCCTACACAAATTTTAGTTGAGCAACTAAACAAAAAACCGTGTAACCTATCTTGCATCCACGCAAAAATGATTGATCAGATGCACAATCGTAAGTAGCGTAGATAGTTTTGGTACCTAACTTCCCTGGCTACATCCCCACCAAATTGGAGTTTAGTAAACAACAGTTCCTTCTGAACGCTAATGATTCCAATTTCCTTCTGTTTTGTCAATATTTCTTTTTATAAAACTTAGGATAGTCCATTTTCACTAAGTTTTGAATATGCTTGTTATATCTGAATTCGTCAAAACATATCATTCTCACTTCGCTTGCAAGGCATTTCTATGTTGATGTATACATGGATCATTCTGCAGACATCTCTACTAAGTGAATCATCTCCTACTTATTAAAACATCTGAAAAATGTAGTTGATTTGCGTCGTCTTCAATTGCAGAATTTAGCGCAGGGTATACCTAGTTAAGTGGAGATGGATTGGGCATGCACTGAGAAGGCCGACTGAGGACAGGCCCTCGAGTGGAATCCCCATGGGAAGCGACGAGTTGGACGTCCGAGGGTGACATGGAGGAGACCGTGCGAGGAGGAAATGAGAGCTTGTGGGCTGTCGTGGAACCAGGTTCAAAAGATAGAGAACAGAGGTCACTGGAGACGTGCTACTGAAGCCCTATGTTCCACTAGGAACCCAAGGGACTAATAATAATAATAATAATAATAATAATAATAATAATAATAATAATAATACCTAGTTAAATTTCTTAAGAAGTTTGTTTCTGTCCATGTCCTGATCAAGAATAATCGATATTTTGTCTATAAGGCGCGGTCTACATTCAGTCAGTCGATGAAATTTTTAATTATTCATTAATATATGTTGTGGAGAATGTTGATATTATAGTCTTTTTATGTTAAAAGAATATTGTTCGCCTGAATGTCTAGTTCTGATTTGAACGATGGGAATTGTTGACATTCTTGAAGATGTTTATCTTATTTCCCATTCAAAGATAGGCTGTTGATCGTGTGATCTGCATTAACTCACTTGTTTAAGCACTTGACTGAGATACCGGTTGTCAAACATTCTTGTTACCTGTCATATGAGATGCAACGAATAGTCCATTCGGGTGAATTTATTTGTGGTTATGAAGTATCTTATAACTATACAATATTCACTATTGTTTTTACTGTGATAAAAATTGTTGGTATCTTTTTTTATTTTAGTTAGGCGAATTTTGGCGGTTTATGAAGTCAAAAGGATATATATATATATATATATATATATATATATATATATATATATATATATATATGTTCATGAATCTATCGAGATGTACAGCCGGTAGTTATTCTATTCATATCTGGAAACAATGTAATGGTTTGCGTCGTTCACTAGATACATCTTCACTATTATTATTATCATCATCAGCAGGAGCATCGAAACAAGACGAGGTAAATAAACCGAATGCTTATAAAACCTTACTCAAGTCGTCATCAGTTAGACTGCGTGTGGATGCTATACCAAAGGGTGCAAAACAATTTTTCACTACTACTCCGTTCGATAAATCCCCTGAATTTGTTATTGTATTATCATGTGATGTACAGAAAATGATGAAAATCACTGACTGTTCAATTAATCTGGTAATTTTTTATGGTCTAAAATTTACTTTTGCATTGTTTTCTTATTTTATTTCTTGTATGTCAATAATTCAGTGTTTTTACTGAATGATAAATTCATGCTTCAAATACAGGGAATTCCTGTCTTGTGAGATACAAGTAACCGGTGACGCCTTCGTTTGTCATACACGTGGACAAATGAACTTTACAATATCTAAATGTGTGACTCTCTTGTATAGACATTCGATTTTCAACCAATGACTCAGATTCGAGCTCTCCACCTACCTGCATCTGGACAGTCAGGTGGTATCATTACACCATTGAGTTTAAGGCATGGATTTACATGTGGTTACTGAATTCCATTTCATTCCTTTTTTTGAGGTATCTGTTTATTTTACACTTTCTTTTAACTCATTACTGCAGAGATTCCATCTGAAAACTATTGTAAACTGACAGAACAGTGTATTAGTCCAGGTTAGTATCCTACTTGTCAACACTGGCAGTAAATTAAGAAAGTAATGACCAAGAATGAGCCTTAAAAACGCCTAAGACGGTTTGAACTGCAAACTGATATCATTATGAAAATCACTGACGGCTCAGGATTACTAATCAGGTGTTTCTTAATAGTGCTTGTTGAGTGACTTCAAATTCTACCCTAACAACCAGTGAAATAACTTACTAGACTTTTGTATTTTACGAAAATATTGCCTTTCCAACTGAAATCGTGGAAAGTAATTAGTCATCTCATGAGTTACCAAAATGCTCGTTAATTCAAACGTGCTTGATGCCGTTTAACAGTTCACTGTCTCTTCCTTCTTCACTGTATTAATCCTGTAACCTTCAGATACTAACTATCCAGAACGACTCTCCAACCAGCATTTCCTTATTTCAGGTCAGTTTAACTGAAAAAGATTCTTTTTCAAGGAGTTAAGTTTTGGCACATACAGTGTAAAATACGTCTGATCAAAAATTTAGAAAAATAAGGTACTACAAGGACAAGGAGAGTCACTTGAACAAAATATTTTGAATTTACTTAAAAATGACAAGTGTTGGAATTAATAAGGGTTTGAAGGTGGAAAAAGCTTTTACAATGCTTTTCATTTCCCCTTGTTCTTCGCTGTTGTCAATCCATGTTGAAAAGTATCTTAAAGGATCGCGCGTAAACAGCAATCCATTTCAAAAGGTAATAACGAATTTGTTTCAATTGTTATGTACAAAACAAACTTAACTAAAAATCTGTTCATTTCCATTACGATATAATGGGTAAGGAACCCAGCGAAGATATTTTCTTCAAGTTCCACTTCCATCGGCGCCAGGTTACTACAAACTACATTCGTAACCGGTTCCTATACATAATCCAGTCTTACAGGAGTTTAGTCGTGGTCTGGATAGCTTGGCGTTTAAGTCTCTGGCTTCTACACTGAGCAGTACAATTTCGAATCACCAAGGGAATACCATTTTTTTTTCATGTGTAAAGTAATCATGAGACATTGATCAATAATTGCTTTTTCTTGTCTTAATTAAGATAAATGCACGGTGATTGACACCAGAAGTTAGGTTGTTTACTCATCGATTATTTTGTTACAGATTCATTTTAACCAAATGGACTGAGATGTAATTGAACAAGTACTTGTGTATGTATATGCATCAGGTGGAGAAAACTTCTTAATGCTTTGGAGCTAATATCACCGTCTACCTACCTACAGTCCGTTGAATAGAATTTGATTTCAAACCCTCAACGGTTTACAGTTGGACGCTTAATCTGGCTAGTTACAATTCTGCGTAATAAGAAACAATTCATTGTTACACGGCGTACTTGATACAAAATAAGCATTCCGATACATCATTTGCATCAAGGTTTTTGCAAATTTAAATAAGTCGGATTAGTCTTTTGTATCGGTGTTAGGTTATTTCTAAATTTTACAAACAAATTTTTATGTTAGGCGAATCATGTCATAGACAGTAATAGTTGTCTTTATTATTGATGGATAGTGGCTAACAGTGGAATTCAGGACGCGCGTTTTATCCTACTTGAGATTTGTCAGTTGGGTGTACCTGCCTCCCAGTGAGCGATGTTCTTCCCACTAGGACCGATTGCTTCAAACTCTAACTACTATCTATCACTAATACATAGCATGAACACAGGTAGTATCGGGACATCAGCGCAGTAGCCCATATGCCAGTAGAGACGGATGAATTCTATCCAGTCAACGATGGGATAATACAAGCAACAACAATAATTGTCTTTCCCTAATTTTAATATTTTTAATACGGCTAGAGTCACCTCCATAACAAACAATGTAAGTTAATTAATGCAGTAGATATTTTCCAGCTCTCCGAATGCTAATCTAATACTCGTAAAGTACACATAATAAAATTACCACTTATGCATATCAACTTCGTGTGAAATAATTACCCGACTGATAGCTACTACTTTGACATGGTGGGCGAGTTTGCATATCTCAATGACCAGACAAACTATTCTGGCTGGAACTCTTGTTCCTTGAGGTCCTACCATACCAGAAAGGTCAGCTGGATAGTAGCAAGACAAAAAGCCGTTACTCTCGTAGTATAAACTGCTATGCCATGATGGAAGTCCCAGGGTGAAGTCGTACTGCATGCAGGATGGGTTTATGCCACGCTGATGCTACCTTCGCTGTGGGAATAAAAGTGAGATTAGAGAAGGTAGGCTCTGAGAGTAGCAAGCTCCCTCTATCCTACAATGTTCTGCTGCCGGCGATATGTTTTCCAGCTGAATTTATGTCAGTCAAAGCTAAACCTCAAACTTCAAAAGATGATGTGTGACCGACCTGAAGTAGAGGCCTTTTGGTGTTTGCGGTCACGCACCACTACTGTTAATACAACTTCTTGCCGAAGAACCTTGCGAAGTAACCTTTCATGGTGTGGAATGCTGAGGAGTTCCAATTACCTTCGCGACTCTATCAGTGTTCAAGTTCCTTCAGATCATTATCAAGCTTCAAAATCTCTCCCCTCTAATCTCCCTTCATTTCTCTTTGTCAATATGCCTACTCCATCTTTGGTCTCTTCTAGCTGTACTACCCTCGATAACGGTTCGAGTTCACAGAAAGCATCTCTCGTCTGTTGAATCCCTGCACCAAATTAAATATCAGGGCTTTGAATGTCCGCATCCTTCAAATCGAATAACAAACTTAGACAACCAAGACTTTGGCATCTAAGTCCTTTGACATGTGCTGTTTGTGGAACGCACATAAAAAACCCAAATGCACTTATTCACTTAACGTCATGTTGCCAGTGAATCAGGAAAACCCACTCTTCCAGTTTCTAGAGATTCGATGACCAGTTATTTCAGTCTTGTAGTTTTCGGCAAATTTTAAAGTCCTAAGGTGAAAAGTGCACTTCTCGAATGGATACCAATTGATAGTTGCCAGGGCATTTTTTGTTTGAATTGTGCAGTTAAGACTGAAAGAAGAGTGAAACTCCATTTTTTCTTCGCAATTTCCACTTACGCACCCACGAATTCGAGAAAAGTGGACAATGAGCAGCTTCTGAACAAGTGGATTCATGCGATCTCATTCAGTCAGGTTCCACGTGCAGTAAAGAGCAAAAGCAACTCAAATTCGGACTGAGATCGAGTCTACAGAGTGACGGGGAGCCTTGGTGAACAGTGAAAGCAAGAGAAATGGAAAAAACAACGGTAGTACGTAACAGTAGACAGCTGTTTAGGCTGACCAAAGAACCAAGGGCAAAAAAGGCAGTGTTTAATGTTTTAGCAGGGAAGAGTAAGTCTGTGTTCTATTCGCCAGTGAGACGACGGGCGTAACTCAAGAAGCAATTCCACTGGCTAACAGCCACTTTTTCATAGGCCCTCCAACTGCTGTAGAAGTCGAGAAGATAGTAATTAACCTGAAACGAAGAACGGCAGCAGGGCTAGCACCAAAGGTATTTAAGAACGATGGTTGAGGATTATTGGTTAGACTAGCCTGTGTTAGCTGGCGTATGAGAGTCAAATGTGATGCTTCCTGATAAGTCTCAATTATTAGCTGTCCTAGTCTTAAAAAAGGCGAAAAATCTTTTCATGATAACCATAGGATAACCACTCAGACAAATAAATGGACATCACTGGTAATGAGGAATGCTTTTTCATTTCATACTCTCACTATTCGTTCTTTATTATAGATTGAAGATGATTTCCAACCTCCGTTAATCCAATTACGATTGAAGGATGATATATCACAATCGAATAAAAATCTACAGAATTATGGTGTCAAGTTGCCTGAGAATGTTCAATCAAAGGTCATTGGAATTCATTCTAATATCGATGAAACTATGTTAAATGTTCGATTGAAACAGATTGGGAATTTCTTACAAACTAATCATACAGTTATTATTGTTGTTAAAATAGTAGGTTTTAAAAAATTAATGGTTACGACAAATATGCAGTCTGTACTTGCGAACGAGGTTGGATCAATAGACCACTTGAATAATAATAATAATGAACGACAACAAATGAAGAATTTGCGAGAGGTTTGTTTGTGTGTTGTCTTACCTTTATTGATGTTTTAACCTATTGTTTCCCTGGTTGTATAGATTGAAATTAAAATTGCAGTTTGGAGACACAATTCCACTAAATGCGTATTCTGTTATTGATTCCATCTGTACTGAGGAGGTGGAGAATCATTGATGCTGATGCTATCTGCAAACTGATTCATGTGCACAGTTAATTTCTACTAAGAGCTACTTATCTCTTGAATAGGATAGCAGTATCGTCTGTAACAACAACACCAAGTAAGATAACCTTGAAGTTCTAAAAGATGCTTACTGACAAGTGTCACATTAGTTGACAACGATGTCACTAGGTGTAATATGACGTAATGATACAATAAATTTCAGTATCTTCCTCAATTCGTACTACTGTATTTCGCTCAAAATAGGTCGTTGTTAAACCGATAGTCATTGATAACTTGGAAAGATACAAAAGACCAAGTTTGTTGTGTGTATGACTGTTTTCTGTCAAATTATAGTGGTGAGAACTAAAGCATAAGGCTGTTTACATCGGAGCACTGGTTTGAATTATAAGGCTTATAAGTAATGCGTCCACTTAACAAGATAGATGAATAAAAGTTTAGAAATAATGCCTTCGGTGAACGCCCATCATTTTAACAAAGTCCTATCGAATCTCAGTTCAATTTACCTTGGACTGTAAAAACAGAACACTATGATAAACATGCCGTTTGGTACCTCAATTTTGTTCCAATGATGTATATTGAAACACAAAACTGTGAACATAAGATCGTTAAATGTGTGTACCTTGATGACACGGAGAGGTATAGGTAATGCAATGCCCAAATAAGCATGTTTTTGTTCCAGACCATGGTGTGCTGTGAATATTCGATCGAATTCATAATCAGAATGATATTCTCAATATTTTTCAGGTGTGAACAGTTTTCATCATTTATCAGGAGTTTTCTATTTTCTTTACATCCGATTGAATCTTAAACACTTCATAATTGGATCATCGTTTGTTTGTTTTTTACGAAGAATATGATATTCTATGCATGTTTGCACTGTGAAGAGCGAGAAGAGGGGCGTACACTGTTTGTCCGATAAACAAATCCTACGAGATTTAGATCTCGCCGATGATTTATGTCTAGTGTCACGCAAACCCGAAGATCTACAGGTGAAAACCAACAAGCTGACAGAAGAGGCAAGGCAGCGAAGACAGGACTTACTTCAGGCGAACGTAGAGAAGACAGGTGATGAAAATACCCAACTAACAACAACAACAAGTACCAATGACCATCAATGGGAGAAACGTAAGGAAAATAGTTTCTTTCACCTACCTAGGCAGCATCGTTTCAACTACAGGCGACACAGATGTTGATGTCGAAGCCAGGATTAGAAAAGCAAGACAGGCCCTCATCAATCTAGAATCAGTGTGAAAATCTACTGCACTGCGCTCAGCATAAAGAACAATATCCGGATTTTCAACACTAAGTTGATCAAGTAAGTGCTGCTATGTGGTGGTTGAGAGACTTGGCGGCGCGTTACAAAAAGCATTTCCAACAAACTGAAGGTATATATGAACAGCTGCCACCTACGCTGGATACTGAAGATCAGATGGAGGGTCAGAATAATGAGAATAAGCAACAAGGAACTCTGGCCTGGCAAAGGATCAACCAACTAATAACCCATCGCCCAACAAATATGCAGAAGAAAGTCGAGATCAGTTGGATTGGACGTACACTGAGAAGACCGTTTGGCGACATCACGCGACAGGTCAGGCCAGGATATGCCCTCGAGTAAAACCCAAATGAGAAACGACGAGTTGGGCGTACAAGGGAGACATGGAGGAGATCGCGTGAGAGAGACATGGAAGCTTTTGAGCAGTCGTGGAACCAGGTCGAAAAGACTGCAGAGTAGAGAGTGAAATGACGATGTGCTACTGAAGCCCTATGCTCCACTAGGAACCCAAAGGACAAATAATAATAATAAATGCATGTTTGCATTGATAAGGAATAAAGTCTTGTATTCACTTTTTTGCAACATCATGCTTATTCTTTTCTCATATTTTCAAAACCTTTTCTCAGATGGAATATGACAAGAATCTGGAAAAATACACCAATGTATTTGCAGATATGCCGTGTAAAGTCCTCAGTGTTGATCGACCTGACCGCTCAAAAGTTGTTATTGTTTTAGAACCTGTAAAATGATAACTTCTAATCCTAAAAACCCTATTTTCTTTCCTTGTTAAAGATTTTTACTCTGTCTGAAAATTAGAAGAGGAATGATTCAGTAGTTTTACAACTTACCAACATTCTTTATAGTTTTGTAATCTACAACGATGGCTAATAAGAAAATATTATATTCTGCAGATATTTCGGATGCGTTTGGGAAGTACAGTGTTACAGTTGTAAATGTAGCTCATCAGTAAAGTAAGAATTTCACTCAACAATCTAATGCTGTGAATCACTCTAATGGGATGTGACTGAAAGTAGTTTCCAGTTTCCTACTGGTGTTAGGTAGAATAAGTGCTATAGAGTTAAGCCGGGAATTTGAAATATTGAGTATTAACTCCAGCTTGTTAACTATTATCAGGCAAAAAACAGCGAAGTAATTTTCCTTGAATTCATAGTGTTATTCATTCTGAGAATGATCTATATTATGAATTATACTTTCAAAACAATCTAGTGAACTGTTTTAAATTAATATAGGGAATTTTTGAACAATTGTACTTTTGTGTTTTGGCGTTTGAAGCGATCAATCTCGGTTTCGAGTCGAAGTGGAAACAACGTCGCTTGTTGAGAGAGAGGTGCATTCGGCTGACGAGTTCCAAGGAGGACGGAATACGCATCCGTGATTCCGCTACTTGCCACTATTTGTCATTTATGTAGAATTATACTTTTGCTTATTGAAATTCTCAAGGTAATAGAAGTAAATGAATGAAAAGTCCGAGTAGCATGTCTCTGAGTTTTTTATCGTGAGACTTTGAATATTGAATAGCTCACTAATCTGTGCGTGCTAATTCTGTTGTAGTTTCGTATTGCTTTCATTTTGCTGTAGTAAATTACACCAAATTAGAAAGAATATTTTACCTTCATTGCTTCAAAAAAAGAAGCAGACAGCCCACAGTAATACCTTTAGACATGGTTAGTAAACAGGTGTACTCAGCTATGTTAAGGGGTGCAAATGAGAGAGACTTAATCGAACAAATTTGTTTTCGATGAAATCATCATCCTCTGCAATTGTACAATCACAGTTAAATATAATTGGTGCACATATTTATCAGTAAAAATTTCAACATTTGTTAACAATTTCTAGTAGGTTGTGGTCAAGAAAAGAATATAGTAACGGAAATAGCATCAGAAACAAGAAAATATTTTCATTGCTTGAGCTCTGGAATACTAAGATTGAAATCGGAAATGTGGGTCTAGAAGCAACTTTACCATTCACTGTTCTTATTCACTTCTTAATTGTGAAACTTTCAAATCCTTAAACCCAGCTAACCTTTAACTTTTCATCTTGTGATTGAGTAACCGTTTTTATGTTTGTTGCTAATTTCTCATTACTTTCCTCACTGATAACTGTCTGCTTACTTTGTTACGAATTCTTGATTTCGAATCATACTTATTCATGTCAAATATTTTCGTATTTCTGTTGTTAACGTTCCTATATTATTTTCCCGTTCACAACCTACCAAGGAATGATTAACAAATATTGTCACTTTTACTAACAAATATGCGCACTAATTATATATAAATGCGAATGTTCGCCTTCTGAGGTGATCTATCGCCGAAAACAAATTTCACGAATCTTGATAAACCAAAAAGAACAATAACAGAATTAGTATGCATGTGTTCCATCGGTTCTCCTTAGCTGCTTTGCAACCTAGTGGAGATATTGTCCATGATGAACAACATGTATACACGAGGGGGTTGTGCAAAATGTTATTCTAGAATTGGCCATTGTGGTTCAGTAAACGTAATAAAAGCTCTGCAGGTTTTCACTATGTCGAGTAATAAGATGAATACAACCTAGAAAGTGAGACTCGGTTTTGAAATCTGTCGACCAATAAAGTGAGAACTGGGTCATGAATTTTTTATCTACGAATTTAAGGGATAAAAATTACCAAGGTAAAGCGAAAATGAGAACAGTATCTTTTGAATACATAGGTCAGGTTAGAGTTTTTGAATTACAAACCACAAAACGGTGGGCTTCAAGACTACCAATATCTGACACGTTGCCGTGTAAACTTAATCCGTCATTATCCCTTTAAACTGTGTGTATGAAATGAATAATTTTGAGTGGAGTTTTAAGTAACCTCTTATTGTAATATTTTTAATCTAGAGTGCCACATTAAGCTTAGATGTCAACATGCCGCATATTGGCAATGGGGTTTCAGCTGTTGATTGGTGACTTTTAACGCTTACTTGACAATTATGGAATAATTTAATGCACAATCCCTCCTCCCACTTCCAACTATGTTTATATCATATATATACGCCATCTTCTCTTGAAACCTCGCCTGGTTAACTAGTTCACTAGTTACTAGCCGGTCCTAAGCCCGGGTAAAGAGGGAAGGTCGGGCATAGGGCCAGCAACCCTATTCCGTAAAACCAAACCAACCGCTAAAAAAACGTCAAAGAACAAACAAAATATAAAGACAAAAACAAAATTACTCTTCTCTGGAATCGGAGAAGCGAAATGACGCCGGTTGGTGAAAGCCTTCGGGAAGGCAATTGGCCGATGTGTCTTCTCTCCCTCGATGAAAGCGAAAGTAAACATGGGGATATGGAATGTCCGCACCATGTACGTAACTAGCAAGGCAGCCCAGATTGCAAACGAGATGAGAAGGTATCATATTGAAGTGTTGGGAGTTTGCCAAAGCAGGTGGATTGGAAGTGGACTGTCCAAACTGTCAACTGGAGAGTCAGTAATCTACTCCGATATTGTCACCCAGACGAAAACCATGAGCACATTGAGGGAGAGGCTATCGTGATGTCCCCAAGAGCATCGAAGGCTCTCATGCAGTAGGAATCAATCTCCTCCTGCAGGATCATGACAGCAAAGTTCAACTTAAAAGGAGGGAAGGTCGCAATCATACAATGCTACGCTGTGCACCTACAAATAATGCAGAGCAAGAGAAAAAGGAGGAATTCTTCAGACAACTGCAATCAACACTGGACAAGACTTCAATTGGCGATATCAAAACTCTAGTGGGTTGGGTAACATGAATGTCAAACTTGGAGCGGAAAACACAGGAAGAGAACTAACCACGGACCGAGAAGCACTCGGTGAAATGAACGAGAATGGAGAATTGTTTGCAGAATTCTGCACATCCAGCATTTTGGTGATTGGAGGCAGTGTGTACAAACACAAGGGTATTCACAAAGCGACATGTATTTCACCAGATGGACACACTAGAAATCGGATCGAATTTATCTCAATGTGAAGAAAGTGGGAACGCAGCCTGCTGGACGCAAGATCACATCAAGAAGAGGGGCAGATGTAGGCTCAGACAACTCACTATCTAGTGCAAGGAACCTTCGTAATCAAGTTGAAAGCCTTCAAGGAAGCTGGTGATAGACCACAGTTCAAGTTCAACACCCAGAACACAAACTGAAGGATGAAACTACAAAGGAAATCTTCCCGTCAGCCATCAGAACAAAATCGGAGATATCGAGGAACATCCCTGAAGGAACCTGTGTGGACGAACACTGGAACTGTTTGGAAGAGATGTGGAAAGAAACCTGCATAAATGTATTAGGAAGAAAGAAGAAGAAGACAAGGAATGGATCTCGACGAACACATGGAAGCTGATAGAGCAGGGAGAGGAAGATGGTGATGGTGAAGCAGAAGATAAACCAGTGCAGTGCAGAGATGAACAACGAGGAGAGGAACTGAACACAACCTATAAAACACTACACTGGACAAAGAAGTGAAGAAGCGTGAGCGCAAAGACAGAAGACATTTCTACGACACATTGACAAGTGAAGCAGAACAGGTTGCTGACAGGAGAGATCTGACAACACTATATCAAATAACCAGGTTACTACCTGGGAAGAGATCAACACAGATGAAACCAATAAAGATGATGAAGGAAACCCAATTACTAAAGAAGACAAACAAAGGCAACGGTAAGCCGACCACTTCAAGAAGCTCTTGAATCGACCACTACCTGCACTTCGTCCAGAAATACCACCTGCGGTCACAGAACTACAAGTGAACATAAATCCTCCGACGAAAGTGGAAGTCCTAAGCTCCATAAAGCTACTGAAATGCAGGATAGCAGCAGGACCAGACAGACTTCCTCCAGAAGCACTGAGAACAGACCCAGAGACAACAGCGGACATACTCACATCACTATTGCAGAGGGTCTGGAAGGAAGGGAAGGTACCTGGCGATTGGAAGAAGGGCTATCCTGTCAAACTCTCAAAGAAGGGCGACCTAAGTCTTTGAAAGAACTGGCGCGGAATCATGCTCCTGTTCCTGTCCACCCCAAATAAAACATTGAGCCGCACCATCCTGGAGAGACTAAAGGATGCTCTGGATTCAAAATTACGACCACCACAAGCTGGTTGGCTGGATTCAGGAAGTACAAATCATGTACGGTTCAAATTCCCACACTACGCTACGCATCATCATAGAACAGAGCATAGAATGGCAGTCAACTCTCTACCTCAACTTCATCGATTTTGAAAAGGCCTTTGATAGCGTCGACCGAGAAGTAATTTGGAAACTGCTCCGACACTACGGAATACCACAAACCTTTATCAATCTCATTCAACAACTATATGAAGACGCCGCATGCCAAGTGGTCCACAATGGAAAGCTCAGCGATGCCTTTGAAGTGAAGACAGGAGTAAGACAAGGCTGCCACCTACCATCACCTATGATCTTCCTGATTGTGGTGGACTGAACTGAATCATGCACCAAACCGTGAGGAGCGAGAAGATGGGCGTACGCTGGACCGATGAAGAGACCCTAGAAGACTCGTATTTCGCCGATGATGATTTATGTCTCATGTCGCACAAACTTGAAGATCTACAGGCGGAAACTAATAAGTTGACAGAAGCGGTAAGGTAGCGAAGACGGGACTTCAAGTGAACGTAGAGAAGACAGAGGTGATGAAGATGTCCAACCAATAACAAGAACAAGCACCAATAACCATTAACGGGAGAAACTTAAAGTTAGTTGTTTCTCTCACCTACCT